CTGTTGGCCAAGGGAGGAGGTGTAGATGGAGAAGGGGCCCGAAGACAGAGCCTTGGGGGACCCCAACAGAGAGGGGGAGTGAGGGGGGGAGGTGGCAGCGTTATAGGTAACACTGAAGGAGCAATGGGATAGATAGGAAGAGAGCCAGGAGAGAGTGGAGTCTCTGAGGCCAAAAGAGTATAGTTTTTTGAGGAGGGGGTGGTCGACCGCGTCGAAAGCCGCGGAGAGGTCGAGGAGTAGTAGCACTGAGTAGTGGCCATTGGCTTTGGCAGTTAGCAGGTCATTGGGGAGTTTGAGTAGGGTGGTGGTTTTGGTGGAGTGTAGGGGGCGGAAGCCAGATTGTAAGGGATCATGGAGGTTGTTGTCAGTGAGGTGGGAGCTTAGGCGATTGTAGGCTAAGCGCTAAAGGAGTTTGGATGAAAATGGCAGCAGGGAGATGAGTCTAAGGTTGTTTAGGTCGGTGGGATCCAGGGAGGGTTTTTTAAGTATGGGAGTGACGTGCGCATGCTTCAGGGGGGAGGGGAATGTGCCAGTACAGAGGGAGAGATTAAAGATGTGAGTGAGGGAACGTAGGATGGAGGAGGAGGGTGATTGTAGGAGTTGTGCGAGGACAGGGTCAAGGGGGCAGGTGGTAAGGCGATCATATCCCCCCTTATGTATTATACATGTTGATCATATCCCCCCTTATGTATTATACATGGAGATCATATCCCCCTTATTTATTATACATGGAGATCATATCCCCCCTTATGTATTATACATGGAGATCATATCCCCCTTATGTATTATACATGGAGATCATATCCCCCCCTTATGTATTATACATGGAGAACATATCCCCCTTATGTATTATACATGGAGAACATATCCCCCTTATGTATTATACATGGAGATCATATCCCCCCTTATGTATTGTACATGGAGATCATATCCCCCCTTATGTATTGTACATGGAGATCATATCCCCCCTTATGTATTATACATGGAGATCATATCCCCCCTTATGTATTTATACATGGTGATCATGTCCCCCCTTATGTATTATACATGGTGATCATGTCCCCCCTTATGTATTATACATGGTGATCATACCCCCCCCTTATGTATTATACATGGAGATCATATCTCCCCCTTATGTATTATACATGGAGATCATATCCCCCCCCTTATGTATTATACATGGAGATCATATCCCCCCTTATGTATTATACATGGAGATCATATCCCCCCTTATGTATTATACATGGAGATCATATCCCCCCTTATGTATTATACATAGAGATCATATCCCCCTTATGTATTATATCATACATGTGATCATATCTACCCTTATGTATTATACATGGAGATCATATCTCCCCTTATATATTATACATAGAGATCATATCCCCCCTTATGTATTATACATGGAGATCATATCCCCCTTATGTATTATACATGGAGATCATACCCCCTTATGTATTATACATGGAGATCATATCCCCCCTTATGTATTATACATGGAGATCATATCCCCCCCTTATGTATTATACATGGAGATCATATCCCCCCTTATGTATTATCCATGGAGATCATATCCCCCTTATGTATTTTACATGGAGATCATATCCCCCCCTTATGATTATACATGGAGATCATATCCCCCCCTTATGTATTATACATGGAGATCATATCCCCCTTATGTATTATACATGGAGATCATATCCCCCCCTTATGTATTATACATGGAGATCATATCCCCCCTTATGTATTATACATGGAGATCATATCCCCCCTTATGTATTATACATGGAGATCATATCCCCCTTATGTATTATACATGGTGATCATATCCCCCTTATGTATTATACATGGAGATCATATCCCCCCCTTATGTAATATACATGGAGATCATATCCCCCCTTATGTATTATACATGGAGATCATATCCCCCTTATGTATTATACATGGAGATCATATCCCCCCTTATGTATTATACATGGAGATCATATCCCCCCTTATGTATTATACATGGAGATCATATCCCCCTTATGTATTATACATGGAGATCATATCCCCCCTTATGTATTATACATGGAGATCATATCCCCCCTTAATCTCCTCTTCTATATGACAAAACTTATATGAATTTTTAATTGATTGGATCTTCATATACCTTATATACCAAATAAACACATTGCTCAGTGAGCACTAAAAATTGCCACCAGCACTTGTTTTGCCAGCAAACGAAACCTAACTAGAACACAAGGGCACCCCTGAACATGAGGGGGTTAAATGAACCCAATTGCAATTGAATTTTTTTTCTAGGCAAAGGTTCAGTAAAACTCTTATCCTGCAGATATATGCTGTAAAGATGGCCACATAATATATACTTGGATCTATTTGATTCTCATCACTGTTGGTCATCGCCTGGTTCATTGACTCTATAATATTACTCTTCATACCTTTGAGACGTCCTTTGTATGAGAAGATAAGATGTCCATTTAGTTCCATGGCAGCGATTATGCTCAGCCGCTCCTCTCCTAATTAATACTTATGCTTGACAACCATTAAAGTGCTCTAATCCTGGCCGGGCATTATTCTAAATAAGGATTAATACAGAGCTCACAATGGCATGGTGCGCGGAGGACAATGATTATACAGCCTGCATTCAATGGGGGCCCAGTCTTGGGTGAAGGGTGTAGCGCAAGTTATATAGAGAACGGAGGTAGGTATTTAGATTCTGCTATAATAGCTTTCCGGGAAATGTAATAAGCAATTTATTGATTAAGCCATTTGATAAATGTCATTTCGAGGCGACGTGCTCTTTGGAGTCTTTTGGATTTATTTTTTAAGAACTCCAGGCAGATACATAAAGGCACAATTTAGTTTACTTATGTATTCTATCAAGATTAATGAAATCATTTTTCAGTTCAGCTAGTGTAATTACCTGAAATTTGTCTTTGTCACACAACAGCTAAAAGCTAAAAGCTGGAATCAGGCTTACAATGGGAGTGTCTGCTTCAAAAACGAATTGGTAGGTACTTAATCTAGTGTGTGTGTGTGGGGGGGGGGGGTTCTGAGGGTAGGTGTCATAGGGCTGTCATAGGGCTGTCATGGAGCCACACAGTGAATACATGGAGCCCATGGAATCCCTAAGTCGCTGTAAACTTTCAAATGTGTTTTGTTATTTTAATTAGGCATTAGTGTAGTTAAATCTTCTGTGTCGTTTGCCTTAAGCGGTATTAATCCCAAAACCCAAAATGTATTATATTGCAGCTTACCAATCATTAGATGTGGTGGCTGCATCGGTTTTTCTTTCCTTTTGGCTTTTTTCCCTTTGTTTCCACCTGGTGATCTGACCCAGTGGTCTCCAAACTGCAAGCCTTTGGCAGCATAAAATGTATGAAGGTAAAAAACCTTCAACCTCTACAACTGTTTTAAAGTAAAGTCCAAAAACATCCTCAACAGTAGTCTGAATATAACTTAACAAGGGGTGTCAAACGAAAAAAAATGACAATATCTTGTTTTCATGCAGGGCTGCCACGTAATTGCACAGCACCCTGCTTGAGTGCATGGTACTGCTCAGCTTCTGTGTGGGCATTCGTGTCCCATGGTACTGCTCAGCTTCTGTGTGGGCATTCGTGTCCCATGGTACTGCTCAGCTTCTGTGTGGGCATTCGTGTCCCATGGTACTGCTCAGCTTCTGTGTGGGCATTCATGTCCCATGGTACTGCTCTGCTTCTGTGTGGGCATTCATGTCCCATGGTACTGCTCTGCTTCTGTGTGGGCATTCATGTCCCATGGTACTGCTCAGCTTCTGTGTGGGCATTCATGTCCCATGGTACTGCTCTGCTTCTGTTTGGGCGTTCATGTCCCATGGTACTGCTCAGCTTCTGTGTGGGCGTTCATGTCCCATGGTACTGCTCAGCTTCTGTGTGGGCGTTCATGTCCCATGGTACTGCTCAGCTTCTGTGTGGGCGTTCATGTCCCATGGTACTGCTTAGCTTCTGTGTGGGCATTCATGTCCCATGGTACTGTTCAGCTTCTGTGTGGGCATTCATGTCCCATGGTACTGTTCAGCTTCTGTGTGGGCATTCATGTCCCATGGTACTGCTCAGCTTCTGTGTGGGCTTTCATGTCCCATGGTACTGCTCAGCTTCTGTGTGGGCATTCATGTCCCATGGTACTGTTCAGCTTCTGTGAGGGCATTCATGTCCCATGGCACTGCTCAGCTTCTGTGTGGGCATTCATGTCCCATGGTACTGCTCAGCTTCTGTGTGGGCATCTATGTCCCATGGTACTGCTCAGCTTCTGTGTTGGCATTCATGTCCCATCATGCATGGTGCTTGGCATCCAATAAAGTAGGCCAGAAATAGGTGTAAAGGAGGAGGCAGGGAGGGAGTAATAGTGCTATAAAATGCCCTGTGTCCCTTTATACACTCCCGCATCTGAGGAGCCTCTCTCTATGAACTGCTGTCAAAGCAGAAAGTCGGCGGTCTAGAGGGAGGAGAAAAACTGTCAATGTGTTGCAAGATGTGTTGGCATATCCTACCAGTAGTTCTCCCTGTAGCAGGCATTCTAGTGGTTACATTCCAAGCTTCATGGAGGCATGGCACTTGAACGTAGCTACTGAAAATCTTTATTTATTTATTTTTTAACTCCTTCTTCCACTGCAGGGACATCACAGGTAATTTACAATTCCCTCCACAGTCAGCTAAAATTTCCTTTTAACGATCTAGATACACATTAGCAAATACAGTTGGGAGATGTTTCCCTCAATTCCTGCCCCAATGACTCCATAGGAAATGAGGGGAACTGTCCCCAACATAAACCTGAAAACTATTCTAACCCTTCCTCACTCTATTAAAAAAAAAAACTGTTTTGGAGTTCCTCTTTAATGGTGGATTAACATTTGTGGTTTTATGTTTAGCAGCCCTACCTATACCTACTATACTACCTAACATAAGCCTGATGTACACACACAGAGACCAAAAGAGCTGTGCAGATCGGAGATTTACCTGCAGAAATCTGGAGGAACCATCCCGTACACATTAATTGTATTGCAGAGTTCTAGTGCAATGGACATGGTGAACCATCCGGTACTGAGCCAAGTATTTGAGATCTTCCTGAAAGGCAATGATAGACAGACATTACTTTCTATTGTTAACACAATACCTTTGGAAGAACTACAGAGGCAAAGCTGGTCTTGTGGATAACTATCCTTATTTCGGATTGATTTTTTTTTTTTTACAGGTAAGTTTTATGGCGTTTACTCAAAAAGAGTACAGTAACAATTAAACTTTAGTAGCACACATCATGGTCATAGAATGAAAAATGATTATACAGATTATACAGGTCACAATGACACAGTGGTCTATAAGAACATGTACAATGCAGTAAGTATACCAGTTATACCTATCCAACCAAACTGGATGGACAACCATCCACAGAAAAAACACCCAGCAACGAACTCCCAGTCCCACAATCAGTCAGATTGTCCCTTGCATTTTCCCATACTTGAATGGAGGAACCTGATTACAATAGGCAACAACAGAATTATTTTACACATGGCCAATCTGACTGTCGCTTACATTCAGGAAACATTTCTAGACATAACCAAGAGAGGGATACGTGAGGTTAAAATGATTTTGGAGTTCAAAGATGGAGATTTAGGGTGTATTCACACTTGAGCGTTTTGTAGCTTGAAGCTCCAAAAAAGCTCAAACTTAAACAATCAATTATTCTCTATGGTGCCTGCTTGCACAATCAGGTGTGAACAGGCACCATAGAGAACAATTGATTTTTTAAGTTTGAGCTTTTTTGGAGCTTCAAGCTACAAAACGCTCAAGTGTGAATGCAGCCTTAAGGGGAAAACCAGCCAAAAGAGAACTATATGGGCTAGCATTGTGGACCTCCTTCCTAAAAGCGCCACTTGCTTAACTTCCATGTCTGATTGTTCCCTGGTTTCAGTTCTCACTGACCCGGGACAAGCAGTCTGCACATGAAGGCAGAACACCTGATCTGTAACTTCTTCAGCATCAGAAAGTACTAAGACCAGAAGACCAGGCAATTAGTGCTTTCAGAAGGAGGTTAGGATGAGCAGCCTGTGTATTTCCTTTATGGCAGGGTTCCTTTTCCTTTAAAGCATTGCATATTAAAGGTGACTCTCAGGTGCTCTTGTATTTGAATTGGAAACAAACTTTAGAAAATAAAACTATTTCAGCCTGTTAAATCTTCAGAAACGTATGACTCAGTATCTACAATTTTCTTTGAATCTGATGTTACTATAGGGCTAAAGTCTTCAGATGTCCAGGCATGCACTGCTTCTACTACTGGGTATCCATTTTGTTCTGTACACAGGGGCTTCTGTGGCAAAGTGTAAATATGTGTAAAGTGGTTGGGGCCTGACAGTATGGTAAACAAATTGTGCACAAGGTAAAAGAATGGCAATTCCATAACAAATACACACCAGATATGTCACTACTAGAAAAGTGGTAAACCTGAAGGTGAAAGGAAAGTTGTCATTGTTACCCACCCAGAGCTTGTTGCTGTGATGGTGTACAGGTGCAATTTGTCCTGAAGCTAGCTCTACCTGTGGAAACTTTGGCAAAACTGGCCTGTGCCTTCCATTGTAGGTCTGGGTTGTGCTAAGCACCAGCTGATAGGTCCACTTAAATTACACCTATTGATGTAGCAGCTGGATAACAAAATATTTCAAACCGTAGAGATCTTGTGGTCTCAGGAAGCTCAGCCTAAGAATGCTATTTTCATTCATTGCCTTAATAGAAGCACCATCTCTGTAGGCTTTTTATCTAGAAGAGACTACAAGAAAACTTGCTTTGATAGAGATATGTTATACTGGTTGAAACAAACCAGTGGGGCTTCTAATAATAGGTATTAGAAGCCCCACTGGTTTGTTTCAACCATTGGTCTACCTCACTCACATCACATCTGAACCAGTCCGAAAGGCTGGTCAGCAGCTCTGAGGAAAGGGACTCATCCCCAAAATGCGTCAACCTCTTGACCGCACTGACAGTTGGAACACCTTGCCCGCTGTTGTGGCCATCTTCATTATGCAAAAGCTTTTTATACATGCTTCGTCTGTGAGTATGTTTTTGTCTTTTATACCTTTGAACAAATCTTGGATAATGCACTAGGTGTGTGCGCCACCTGTTTACTCTTTTTCTAGTGGTTGATTTCCCTGTCTGAGGAGGGCTGCACCCCTGAAGCATCATCTTTAGGTCACCTCTGTCCTGGCCCCCTTGGCTTCCCTCTGGCTATTCATTTCTTGGCGCACTGGAGAGTACATATGATATCCAATAGGAAATCCAGAAATGTGCAGTTGTCATCAGAAGAGGAATTGAGAAGATAGCTTCCAATGGGGTCACTTCTTCTGGTAACAACTGTCTAAAAGAAGACAGTCGCGACTCTTTCTTATGATATCTAAAACAAATGCACTTTGACATAAAGAAATGATGTAAGGGACTCCGATTCATATTTTGCCCTAGGGTAGAAAGCAATTTAGCAACTGTACCAACCCCTGTTTTATCAGATAATGCACAGCGCGATGGATCTAGCCAGAAGCTCTGGCATGTCGCAGTCCTGTTGTCTCACTGCTTGGTTGGATGGATGGACGGAGAGATGCTGAGAACGTGTCTGCAATCTGATGCTTTTCTTCTAATAACGCTTAAACACTAGATGGAGGCCTGCCTTTCCCATCACCATCCAAATTATAGGGAGTCACAGAAAAATGCTAAGTCCATCTGAAAAAGCATGTATTACCTAATGTTTGAACACTGTAATTACAGCGCCTGAAGCACATTACTAACCAGACTCAAAGCGGAATTCTGTATATGAATTGTGCTGGGTGCGGAAATGAGAGTACTGTGAGCTGCAAGAATATTAAAGGACCACTTCAGGCAACAAGTAGAGTCGAGCAAAGAGCTGCCAGTGAACCTGTGCTACAGTCACAAAGTCCAGCCAGCAGACCTTTTGGTGCCTACATCCAGCCCAAATTGTTTTAGTTCAGGATAGAGTAGGGAAGTGTTCCAATCTCAGTTGTTTTTATATAGAAAAATGTAGGTAGATAGCCCTGAAAAATGTAGGTAGCCCTGAATCCAAAACGAGTTCAGATCTTTAGTGTAAAGATACGTCCATATTGTGGAGCACAATGACTCTGGTTAAGCAGCTCTCCAACATGGAGGGGCCTTACATTAGTTGTAAACCCTTACATATACCAAGGGAAATATCCTCCAGTGATACACAGAGATGAAACAAATCCTCATACATAAGTTGTACCTGTTTATCTGCATTCCTTTCTTCTCTACAACTATAAAAAGTACAGAATTTATACAGCTTGTTTGAGCCTTCAGAACACAGTGGGAGCGGAACTGAAGTTACACTCTACAGAGCTCAGTGCGAAAAGCTGGGAGTAGATTGGAAGCGAGGGACACCCAGGCTTCACAAAGCAACAGTGAAGAGGCTATCAATCACAGTCTTTGTGCTGAAGCTCCCTCCCCCATCACCTTTTTACCTCTTGGTGTCAGGAAAACTTGAAATGAAATTCAATATAAAATATAAGTGACTCATGCAGATAACAGAGGAACAAGGCAGTAGACAGAAATTGACACTTATTACACACTATAGAGGGATATTCTTGTTCATATTTCATGTCTGAGGTTTGCAACCACTTTAAAGCTATACTAAAGGTTCATTTTTTATTTTAAATAACAAACATGTCTATACTTCCCTGCTGTGTGCAGTGGTTTTGCACAGAATAGTCTGGATCCTCCTCTTCTCGGGTCCCACGCAGGCTCTCTTGGCTCCTCCTTTCTGTTGGATGCCCCCAAAGCAAGCAGCTTTCTATGGGGGCACCCTCTGCTCCGTGTGTCCATTCACACACAGAGCTGTGGCTTGGACCCATCCCCTCTCTCTCCTCATTGGCTGACTGGCTGTGATTGACAGCAGCAGGAACCAATGGCTCTCACTTTCTGTCTCAGCCAATGAGGCGGCAGAGACCCCGGGGACAGCCGAGGCTGTTGTACACATCGCTGGATCGCGATGAGGTTCAGGTGAGTATTGAGGGGACTGGGGGGGTTGTCCGTTTTTCAGGTAGACCGATTCGGAATCTCTATTCTCCTCTTTGGAGCAGTGTCTATTTAGAACTGCCCACATCCAATCCAAGCTGATCCACTAAAAACAGATGGACGGAGATCTGTTCCCCTTCTGTCGAGCAGATCAGATCTGATGGCAGTTGGGTGTCCATTTACATCTGACCGCCCATAGAGGAGAGCGGGCTGTGTCCAAGTTCGCTCTGCATAAGTGGAGTGGGCATAGAACTGTCATCCGCCTGCTCAGTGGGGATCAGCAGACAGATCCCCTGCTGATCAAGCAGATCACAGGCGGAATCTGACCAATGTGAAAGGAGCCTAAGGGTGCAAAAGAGGCAACGCCCCTGGGCCCCCTGACAGAAAGTACCCCCTATACAAAAATAACCTTGAGCCTTGAGGAAGGGACATATCACATATTTACAGGCCCCTTCCCTGCTGGCCCTTCTGAAAAGATCCCCACAGCAGCCAGTGGGAGAGGGGAGGGGGGAAGCCAGGTAATAGGCACAGACATGCAATCAGTGAGGAGAGCACAGAAAGGGTGATTAGTGCATTGGGGAGTGGCAATTAGACAAACCAATCCCCTGTATGCAGCAGCTGAAAGCAGGGGCAGAGAGAGGGAGGAGAAGCTGGCCCTCAGCTGCTGCAGGCTGAGTCATATATAGGAACAGATCCTAAAACTGCCTCCCCTGCAAAACCTAATGTGACAGGGAGGCCGCAAGGGACCCCCTTGGAGCAGGGTCCCAAATGTGACCCCTGTAACCCTTGATGGTACACCACTGCCCAAGATACAAATGAAAATCTTTCTGCTACCATTGTGCTGATAAAGTAGACATCAAAAATGCCCAGTGAATAATCCTAAAGGAGAGCAGCTCACCATCAACATCAATGCCCAAGATTAATGAAAGGTCTGAAAGTTACATTGTTGCATATATAGGTTGAAGAAACACGCTTTTCCATCTAGTTCAACCAATTTGAACTAGTTAGTAACACTTGTTGTAGATACTTATCGGACTTCA